TATTGCATATAGATAGATATAAATTTATTTTACTATTTATTTATTTATATTTATGAAGAATTTATTTATTTATTTATTTTATGTTAATATTATATATGATAATATTAATATAACAAAAAGCTTCAAAAGAGCGAACATATTATGACTTGAAGAGATAGACTTTTAAAGTTTTAGAAGAGTGAATATATTATTACTTGAAGAGATAACTTTTAAAGACTCTAGAAAATTCAATATATTATTACATGAAGTGACATAATTTAAAACTCCGGAAGAGTAAATATGTTATTATCTAAAAGGATAAATTTTATTATAAATGATGTACTATTCTCTTTAAAGTCTTATAGAAATTTATTAAGTTTCAAAGATGTTCATCTAAATTGATATCATATTAAGATAGCAAATATGAATACTTATATATCATAATCATTATACCGGATAGAAAATATATATTAAAAAATTTATCCGCTTTCTTTTCTAATCTTTATTATAAATATTGGAATGATTAAAACAAATGTTATAGTAAACCAAAAGTTTACTAATTCAAATGCTTATATTATGTGGCATGACTATTTGTGTTATTCTAGGTCTTTCATGATGTAAAACATTATTAAAAATTCATATGGACATCTATTGAAGAGTTAAAAGATTCTTCGGTTTAATGAATTTTCATGTTCCGCATACTTTCAAGACAAATTGATTATTAAGCCATCATAAGTAAAATTGAGATTGAATCTCGAGTTTCTTTAGAATGTATTCAAGGTGATATATGTGGATCAATTTATCCATCATATGGGCTATTTAGATATTTTATTGTTTTAATAGATGCATCCATAAAATGATCATATGTATATTTATTATCTACTTGAAACCCGACGTTTTCGAAGTTGTTAGCTCAAATAATTCAATTATAAGCATAATTTCTAAATTGTGCCGTTAAAAAATAATTCACCTTGATAATGCTCGGTGAATTTATCTCTTAATTATTAAATTATTATTGATGGACTATTAGAATAAAGGTTGAATAGCTCGTTGCTTATTTTCATACTCGAAAGGTTTAGCAAAAATCATTTATCAAAAGGCTTCAATTGATAGTTAAATCATTATTTAAAAAAAAAACTTCATGTTTATGTTTGGAGACATGCAATCTTACATACACCAACGATTATTCATATCGGACCCATAAATTATCGAAATTCCCTCCTTATTTAATTGGTTTATGGTCATGAGCTAAATATTTCTTATTTAAGATTTTTTTGGCATTGCAGAGTATATATTCGCAGTGTTTCTCCATAACGAACTAAAATGAGCACTTAAAGGAGATTGAAAATATATATTGGATTTGAATCTTTTTTTTATAATTAAATATCTTGAACCATGAACAAGAGATATTTTTACAGACTCAATTTATTGACTCGTCATTTTGATGAAACAATTTTTTCAACATTAGAAGGAGAGAATAAACAAAATAAGCGAGTTAGAAATATTGAAAAAAAAAAGATTACATAGAGTACTCTATCTTTATATCAATTTGGTACAAAATAATGTGAACTAGAATTTCATAAAATAATTCATTTATAAGGTATTATAAACCAAATGCCGGATGCATTCTCAAATCCTAAAAGTGTAACTAAAATACATGTCCCCACCGAGAATGTTTCTATTAGAATTGATTTCCTAGAAGGATAGTCTATTAATATTATAGCTAATGAATCTAAAGCATGCTTGAAGGGTAGAACACCGATCGATTTTAAAGATAAAAATCCCCAAAAGCAAAGGGCAAGATGAAAATATAAAAGATGCGAATATTCATAAAATGATCCAAGATAAATATGATAATAGGCTTTCAAAAGAAGTCCAAATGCTTGGGAAAAATCAAGAGATTTTGATAAATTATGTCAATACAAGGAGAAAATGGGATAAAAAAAAATTTATTGATAAGATTTTTATATATAATGTTTCAATTGATATCTTGAATGAAAATAAGAATCCTAAGCCCAAATTTATCGAAGAATGTCGACATTAAGATAATTAGCCTAAATGAAAAGAGGAATCTAGACGTAATTATGTTCTCTTACAAATGAGTAGTTTTTTAAACTCATAGTTAAAACACTCGAAAATGTTAAGCTAATGGGATACAAATGTGTATTTATATGAAAATGAAATAAGAAAGATGAGATTGTAAGATATAAAGCAAGACTTTTAACATAAGATTTTTTGCAAGGAACTGACATTGACTATGAGGAGACATATTCTCTTATAATGGATGCAATTATATTTTGTTATCTCATTAGCCCGAAAAAATATATACAAAAAATTCATATACATACATTTAATGAATGTGATCATAACTTATTTATTCAATTGAAAATGATATATGTATGAAAGTCCTAGAAGACTTAAGATGCCCGAAGCATAAAATACAAATTCTCGAGAAATGAATTCAATTAAATTATAAAGATCTCTATTGAAAATATTTTAGTATTAGTTTTATTATTTTAGTTTTTAGAAATTCAATTTATGCTATACTTTTTATATTTTTATTTTATTTTTTTACTCTTTATTACTAACTTGTGTGCATATGGTGTAATTATTTCAATAAATATTTATTAAAAGAAGGTTATAAAAAAAAATCATGTTATTCATGTATTTTTATAAAAAAATTCAAAAAGGGTTTTCTAATGGTTGCTATATATGTTAATGATTTAAATATTATTGAAACTCCTCAAGAGATTCCAAATATTATAAATTATCTAAAAAAAGAATTTGATATGAAATGTCTTGAAAAAACAAACTTTTATCTCTACCTACAGTTCGAGCACTTAAAGAACAAGATTTTTATTCATCAATCCATTTCTATATAAATGATTCTCTAATGATTCTATATAAAGATCATTCATTTACTAGCTCAATGATAATTTATTCATTTAATATCTAAAAAGATCCTTTTCAACATCGAGAAGATAACGAAAACTACTTAGTCCCGAAGTACCATATCTTAGTGCCACTAGTGCATTGATATATCTTACTAATAATACTCAACCTAATATAGTATTTTCTATAAATTTATTAGCAAGTCATAATTCTACTATAATATGGAGAATGAAATGAAATTAAACATTTCCTACATTATCTTCGAAGAAAAATTGATATGGTATGTATTTTACTCAAATGAATCAAAGTCAAGTTTAATTGGTTATGCATATGCAGATTATTTATCTAATCCATATAAAACTGGATCACAAACGGGTTATGCATTTACACTTAGTGATACATCTATATCATGATGTTTTATGAAGCAAACTATAGCTACTAGATATTCAAACCATGCAAAAAAATACCAATTTATGAGGCAAGTCAAGAATGTGTTTGGCTAAAATCAACGATCTATCATATCCGAGAGACATGCGAGTTTATCTACCTACAAAAGAAGTTCCAACAATATCATATAAAGATAATGCTACTTACATAATTTCATTAAAGGAAGAATACATCAAAATGACAATTCGATGAACTTGTTCACTAAGGCATTAACCATCACAACTTTTGAGAAAATGATTCATAAGATTGAAATACATCATCTTAAAGATCTCAAATGATGTTTTCAACAAGGAGAGCCCAACTTTGAGATTAATGTGTATAAGGAATATTGTACTCTTTTTTTCATCGAGATTTTTTCCTATTGGGTTTTTTCCCGGTAAGGTTTTAACGAGGCATGTTCTTTGTATAATGGACATTCAAGGAGGAGTGTTATGAAATAATGAATGTTCATATGAAGATTCATATACATATACATTTGAATATTTATATACTTTTCATATCCACACTACCATAATTCTTAATGTGATTCAATTCATCATTCAATATGAGAAATTGAAAGAGTGATCAAATTGATTCAACAATTTATGTATTTTTAATTATTCATAGTCCCTTTCAATTCTCTTCTTACTTTTGAAGCCTATAAATACGCTTGATTGTTCATTGGTTTGTGTACAAGCATTTTGTAGAGATTGAGAGAAATGTTTAGAGTTGTTATCTCTTCTACTCTCTTTATTCCATAGTGAAATTATTTCTTTATCATTTTACTCTCCAATTTTATCATTGTTATCATTTTTTTTTATAATAGTTTCTACATTAATCATTTCATTTTCAAATGAAAAAAGAAACTATAATACATTTATTTATTTTTAATATAGAAGCACGTCATATGTGACACATCTAAATTATTATTGAAAAAAATTATAGTGATAAACGTAACCTAAAAATATCTTAACATTAAAAAACATATAGTAGAAAATGATCAAAATTAAAATTTTAATGATAATTGACTTATAAAAAAATAAGATACGTACGTGCAACGATAAGAAAAATACTTATGACTTATTAGGTTATTTAAAAAAAATTATTTTCTTTTTTCTATGGTAATAGATTTAGATTGATGGTGGATATAAAAATTCGGCTTTAGGAATTGAATAAAAAATAGATGTGATTTGATACTAACTTAATTTAAGAAACTTTGATTTAGTTTCGATCGATATAAAAACTATTGTAAAAATACTCATAATGTGTATGTGTATATATATATTGACACTAATTTAATTTAAAAAATAATAGATTTAGTTTCGATTGATATAAATATTGATATGAAAATATTCATTATATCTACATTGTGTGTATGTATGTATATGTGTGTACATGTATATGTGTATATGTATACGATTGGTGGTAGAATTATAAATTTTTTTAAAAAGAAATGAAACGGATGGGGACTTGATTTGTGATTTTGACACTTTGCTTCAGAATAAAAGCCGATGCGTTAAAACGCTGCGTTTTACCTTCCCGGTTCCTCTCAACTTTATTGACGGGTAGCAATTTTTTCCCCTTCCGAAACACTCCACAGAAACGAAAACACAGCTTTCTCAAAGCTCTAATGCACTTCTTCTTCTTCTTCTTCTTTTTCTGCTATTAAATCAATTCTCTGGCGCTTCCCAAGCTAGATAAAAATGGAAGCAGCACAATATCCAAAACAAGAACGCAGTTCTTACCGGATGGAAATGACAATTCAATCGTCAGAAAATGACCGAACAAGTACCGAACTCCGTGCACTCGACTGTAATCTCACATCTCTCTGTGATCACATCCAAATCGAAGGTTTCAATTCCGGTTCTTTCTCTGATATTATCGTTCACGCTATGGGCTCCACCTACCACCTCCATCGCCTCATTCTCTCTCGCAGCTCTTACTTCAGGTAATTTATTTATTAATTAACCACTTAATTATCATCATCATAATTACAGTTATTTTTATGATTTAATTATAATAATGATAACGATATGGTTAGGAATATGTTGCACGGTCCATGGAAAGAAGCCACTTCGCTTGTTGTTACATTAAAGGTGGATGATAAAAATGTGAATTCGGAAGCAATTGCTGTGGCTTTGGCTTATTTGTATGGCCATCACCCTAAGCTTAATGACAATAATGCCTTTCGCGTCTTAGCTGCCTCTTCATTTCTTGACCTTCAGGTAAATATTATATAAACAAAATCAAGAATATTTATGCGAGCTCAGTGATCGTTTTTTGGTTCGTTTCGTGTGGTGATGAGTTTGTTTTGGAATGCTGCAGGATTTGTGTGCCATTTGTACGGATTTTATTATTTCCGAATTGTGGACTTCAAATTTCTTGGCGTATCAGGTTTGATTTTTATTTATTTATTTATTTTTATTTTGCAGTGTGGTGGTGAGTTTTTTTGGGTGTTGAGACGTGTGTGGTTGTGATTTTTTTTTTTTTTTTCAGGTGTTCGCAGAGAGTCAAGATTATGGAATCCATGGGGAACGTGTGAGAAATGCTTGCTGGGGTTACCTTTGTCAAAGTGGTGCGATTGAGCTGAAAGAGGTAAGATTTGAAGCTATTGCGCGAATGGGGAACATGGGGCTTATAAAATGTGGAGCAGATGTTTAAAAAATCATATATACATGGTTAGAAGACACCAGGGTTGATGTTTTATATTATGATTCATTAAGAATTAGCCTCGCTTCCTCTGTGGGAAGCAAATATTTTGAACTATCGGTTTGAGTGCCTTCTGATGAGAGTTTTATGATGTTATAGGAGAGTAAAGTGTGTCATAGTGTATTAGTATCATTATGCTCTTAGGGGAAAGCGAGGAAATTATAATGATTATCTACACTTCTATCATGTTGAAGTGTCAATAATTATGATTTTGAGTTTTTTCTTTCTTTTGAATGAATTCCATGTTTTTGTTTATGAAAGATGTTTGTCTAATTTAATAAATATTCCTTGTAATATGATATGCTTTTGTCTATTGAAACTTTGTTTTGTTTGCTATTTTCTTATCGTAAGACCTGTTTCCTAACATTTTAATTATAGTGATATTATTTCTTTGTCCTCTTTGTGGATATGATAATTTGTGATGTTAAAGTCTTCATGGTAACATAAAATTCATTTCTTGAAGATTGTCATAGCTCATGTATGTTTTATTTGGTTCTATCACATTGTTATATGTGCCATCTATAAATTATGGATCCTCCCCGTTGTGGTAGGTGCTTCCAAAACTTTCCTCTCAAACTCTGCATGCATTACTGACCTCAGATGAACTTTGGGTATCTAGTGAAGAGAAACGGTAAGGAGTAGAGGTAGCTGATAAATCTGGTTTTCTGGACACCGTTTGAGTTTTAATTACTTTTGTTTTTAAGTTTTTCTTTGTCCATTTCTGTTAAAAGGTTTGAACTGGCATTGTACACTTTTCTCGCCAAAGGTGCTTTTTGCAAGAGTGAACATTCTGAGCAAGAAAGTCCCTGTGCTGAGGCGAATATGGACGTTCATTCTGACTCTTCTAAAGCAAAGGGAAAAAATTTGAGTGGTAGCTGCACTAGTAAGGCATTGGAATCTGAACTTGGATGCTTAGCTTTAAAAGATGACCTAGAAGGACGTGATGCTGCTCATAATCTTCTGGTTGAACTTGTTGATTGTGTGGTTGACTTCCAGCCAGGGGTTTCCGATTCCAAACAGCAGGCACAACAGGTTGCATACACTCATTCGAATTTGGGGACTGTACATCCTTGCAATGTGGGACAATCTTTGTCACTGAGCAACTCATTTTCGGAAATGAATGCAAATGGAACCTCATGCTCTTATGTAGAAATGCCAATTGTTGCTGGGACAAGTGGACTAGAATCTAGTGGAGTAGTGGAGGGACCATCTGAAGAAGGTTCATACCATTTGAATAATACTAATTGGCTTGCGAGCAACCAATCTAGGCATTGCAGTTCTCTAGACCCTTCTGGTAATGGGCTCATTCTCAATGATTGGGAAAGATGTGACATGCCTCCTCTTTCGTGGGGTGGTAGGGTCGTGGGCAGAAGACAGGTAAAAGGTTATGCTAAAGGGGACTGCAGGTTTCACAGGGAGAATTATGATACTTTTGTGAGTATATTTGAAGGGGGTTCTCTTTTGTATTGCAACATGTCTTTTGAGGCACTTTTAAATGTAAGAAAGCAGCTTGAAGAGTTGGGTTTTCCTTGCAAAGCTGTGAATGATGGTCTTTGGCTGCAGGTTTGTTCTAACATCTATTTGCTTCCAATAATTGCATATCTTTTGTTATTTCATGAGAATTACATCTTTTGCTGTATATAAAAAGATACATGAAAAGTGCAATGGGGATTTTCCATACTACTAATCGCATGCTCAGAATCCAGTTCATAGTTTGGTTTTCAGGTTGGATCTGGGGTATCATCCCCTTTCTTCATGCACAAAGCATCTGATTTATCACTGTCTTTTGGAATTTGTTCCTTGATGAAATCTTGGAAACTGCACTGGATATTAAGACTTCCAATATCATGCCTTTCTTCATCCAAAGATTGTACACGCTTTTCCACCCCAATACAACCATTAAATTTTCACGAACCATGCTAAGTTGTTTGTATGTAACATGCAGATGCTTCTGAGCCAGAGGGTGCAGGAAATTGATGCTGACACATGTAAAATGTGCTGCCTAATGAGTATGGCGTGCACTTGCAGGCAGCCATTTGGGATTTCGCATGGAGTCGCCACCACGGGTTATTATGTGCAAGAGCATGAGCACCACAGTTCTCCTGGTGGTGTGACTAATGTCTATGTTGCTGATTCTGCTCAAGAGGGAAATGGCCTCTTTAGGCCAGTACGAGTGCATGTTAGGGGACCTATTGATGGGCTAGCAGGTATTGGGCGCGGAACTACATTTGTGCCAGCAGCTGCATGGCCACCCACACGTTTTGTCTTTTCTCGCGTGCCATTTGGTGTGGGTAACAGAAATTGCCAGCAGTCTGGTGCTAGTGATGATTCAGAGAACAGAACTGACCATAATGGAGACTTATCTGGTGATGGATTGACAGCTCTTGTTGGTTTAAGTCAAGGGGGAGCAACGTCACTAATATTCATGGAGAGCACATGGAGAGAGGATATGAAACTGATTTGCAAGGCAGATTGTCAAAAACCTCAGTTTCAGCACCAAGCACCAGTGGCATCCCTGTCCAGATGCTAGACTCACCGGAACATGCAATTGGATTTGAGTGGGAGAATGCAAGCAACTCTATATCGTTAGATATGAAAACACCTATAAGTCATTTCCCTCCATTTCGTTTTGGGTGAGATTTTATTTGCATACTTCTTTTCTTGCATTTCTCAAAATTAGTAATCTTGGAAATGAAAGATGTTACAGAGAGATGCTTAGGTGAGTGGATGCAATGAATGATGGAAATGTGTTTTGGCCATCACACATACTTTGAATATTTATTTTTCTCAATTGCCACTTCATTTGAGGCTATCACTTCTACAAAAGAATTGCAAATCATAACCTTTTCTCTCAGAATTGTAGATCTACGCTTAGAAAATAATATCTGTGTACTCAAAACATAGTCATGTTCACCCTTATTTGCCAGTTTCAAACTAGCCATCATGATTTTGGTCATTCTCTTTATTTGTTCTACAATTCTACCTCTCATTCGACTCATTTCCTCCCTTTGCCTTTTCATTTAATTGGTGACTGCTTAGTGGAACAAGTTCTTACATATCTTCTGCTGAATTAACACAGGGTTGAATTTGAGGATGTGCACAGGCTCAGTGATGGCCAAGTCAAGCACTCTCCAGAATTCTTTTATGCTGGTTCTCTCTGGAAGGTTTTTGAAATATCAGCTAGTCATTTGTAATCATTACTTTCTAATTTTAGGAGGCTTTCTTCAGATGTTCTTCTAGAGCTTCATCTTTCTATGATCTGTTTGATTTTATAGGTTAGTGTTCAGGCCTTTAATGATGAAGATCCTCAAGGACGTCGAACTCTTGGTAGTTTTCTGGTTACTGGAAACTTTTATTCTGAAAACATGATATTCTGTGTTCATCAGGATAGAAGGAAATTACATTGCCTTTTTCACTGCAGGATTGTTTCTTCACCGAAGGAAGGCAGAGATTACTGATTCCCTCAGAAAGGTTAGCCTCATCAGATATGGTCTATTTTTCTATCAACTGTGGAAGATATCCTCCTTTGTCATGTCTTCCTCTTCTTTCCTTTTTTATTCTTTCTGGTTCTCCCTTTTTGGTGACTACCCTGCCACTGTTGTTGTGTTCCTGGAATTCATGATTGCCTTATATTATAATTGAAGTGATCTATTGGCACCCAAATAACTCACTTCCTGGTTTCAGGTTCATATGTATGTGGACTCTCGTGAAAAGGTTACTGCTCGTTTTCAGGTAAACTTGCAACTAAACAAATGAGTCTTGATTTAATTACTTTGAGTAAACCCTTTTATCACGAAAATGCATGGACGAAGTGTGCGGGCACAAACAAGCTGGGAAAAAAAAAAAAACAGAATCATTGAACTGATGGGCCCTCATGTGGGTTCCACCTGTGACTGTTTCATGGTTTATTTTTTATTTTTTTCTCTTTCAGTGCACTGTTTGCATGCATTTTAGAGATGCGTAGCCATGTTCAATTACTTACTATCATTGTTCACACTAAGTTATATATTCATAATTCTGGGCCCCTTCTGGCTTTGTTTCAGCTGATTTGTCCGTCAAAGAGAGAAGTGATGGTGTTTGGAAGACTCAAACAAAGGGGCACTCTTTTACCCAAAGCTCCTAAGGGATGGGGCTGGCGTGCTGCTTTGTTTTTCGATGAGCTTGCAGAGCAACTCCAAAATGGGACCTTGCGAGTGGCTGCAGTTGTGCAACTCGTGTGAAATCAGAAAGTGGATCTTCCTGAGTTTTTTTGGCTGAACTATGGAAATGTCGATTTTCTATGCAAGCTCAAAATTGCTGTATTAGTGCTGTGCTGTTTAAGATGTGAAAAACAAAAAACAAAAGAGCATTCTCCTTGTGCCCTACTTTGGCTGCAGTATGATGCAACATTTCCACAGTTCAGCTATTACTGGAGACTGTAATCTGGCGTCCATTACTTTCTCCAGATTGGAGTGATAACCAGGAGTGTCGTCACCCGAAGCAAAACGAGATTGCAACTTGCAAGGACAGAAAATACTCCTTCCTTTCCCAGAATCAAGTTACTTTGATTATAGAATCTGATAGTTATACACAGAAAAACTTCTGCCCTGCCACATATATCATGTATACTCTTTGCTTGTATTAAACTAGTTACTTACCATTGTATATGAACTAATTTTTAAAATATTTTGGAGAGGTGTATGCCAAATTTCCTTTCATTCTCCTGGATGCATCCAGCCAGTGCTGATGTGGTAGGCTATTCCTCTCATGCTCGTGATAAAGTCATTGTCGTGTGCATGGTGGATCCATCCATGAACATCCAAACTCCCAGTCCTGTTATACCCATCATTTAGATTTCCTAACAGGTAGGGGAGTCAGTTATAACAAAATAACTACATGTGCTATGTTTTCTAATTGTTAGGAGAAAAATGGGTAGTTACAACAGAAAATGGGACATTATCAAAATAATAAGAAAATATGGAGAATTACAATACAAGAATAGGAAGCTACAAGAGAACATGAATCATGAAGGAGCCAAGAGCTTATAAATACTAGTTAACAAAAGAAGAGACAAAAATCAACAATCAACTCAACAACACTTACAAGAAGCAAGCACGGCTTGAAGTTTTAGCACTTTTGAAATTTATTATGTAGCAGATTATAGGCAATGGTTGATGGGCTAATCAAAGTAGATTGATAGATTTGTAGGCGATAGACTTGTAGGCATCGGATTTGTTATTTGGTATTATATTATCATTGCAACTCGTGTTATGATCCTTAAGAGCTGAATTCATATATGCATATCATATCCGAAGGGAGAATATTAATCCGTAAACATCATTTCTCATCAACAAATGAAAGTTTTGATAAAAAAATTTTATATTATTTTCATCTTTTGTTTCTAAATTCTCTTAATTGAGACCTACACAAAAGAACCCATAATAATTTTAGCAACCATAGTGAGAGTCTCAATCATATTTTTTTATACGATACCAAATTATAAGGCTTTAATAGAAGAAAAGAGTCACTCTAAAAGATGTCAACTTTTGAAACTCCTTATATGAGCAATTCTTTAAAAAGGACTCGTAGTGAAGATGAACTTACGATGATGATAGTGAAAGAAAGACAGATTCTATTGGAAGAAAGGTTCAAAAAGGCCAAGAAAGAACTAAATATCAAGCATAAGGCATACACTCAATAGTTGAAAAAAAAAAAACATAGGCTGAAAATGAAATGTTAGTGTTTGTGCTTAAGATCCACCCATGTTTGAATAGGTTAACTTATTGTAATATTGCACTATTTATTTTATCAATAAAAGAAGTCTTTCTATTAATTATTATTGTTTATTTTTATTTATTAGAATTAAATAGAAGTCCATATGATATGCATTGCATTAATGATGGATCAAAATATGTTAGACAAACATTAATGCATTTAAATGATATCATTAAATGTGTCAAGTCGAGCATTATTAAGAATGGACATTGACTATATATAGTTAAACTTATGAGTGCTATGCTCATGCTATAAGATAACGAGTAAGATATCTCACGCTTATCGGCATGGTGATGTCAAAGCAAGTACTTCGATGATTAATACTAGAGAACATATCACTCGGACTTGACTCACTATTAGAACCCATTTGGTTTAATCTATAGGAATCTCATACGATATGGGTACAACTAGTCCTTTGACTTGAAGTCACCATGGTTATTTCATTAGAGGATTTATGTACTTTGACACTCGTTTCGATGGACCCGAGTAATGGGTTGTACGTGAGTGATTTGTTGGGTGTATTAGGAATCTAATGAAGATAGGTGGATAACTAAGATAGCACTTGTCATTCCTTATATGCTAAAAGAGTTATCACATTGCACTTCGATAGATGTTTGCTCAAGAAATCTATGGCTATAGTAGGAGTACACTAATAAAGCATAGTTAGTTTACTCTAAAAGCTAATACATTTAGGAATCAAAAAAACTTGTGTGATCATAATCGAATAGACTAATAACCAAGTTCAAGATCACACTATGATAAATTGACATGAGTACTGAATTATATGGTAACCATGCTCGTGAAAGATAATTGCGAATTGATTAATCCTCATAGAGAATTGGGTATTCATGACGCCTTGTTAGAGGTTAATCTTGATTTGTGTATCTAAAGATAAAAAAGGTGTCTTTTATTCTTGATACATTGCTAATATATCTAGGAGCCTATTGAGTCACACACATAAGTTTAAGTATTTACATAATAAAAGAAAAGCAAAGATGTTGAAAAAGTTTCCAATTTTGGAAAAGTTTTCCTAAAATGAAAGTTCCCTAAAATATAAATTTTTTTACTTTTAGAAATTAGTTTTCTAATTTGGAAGTTAGTTCCAAATTTAGAATTAAATTACCTAAAAAGGAAATTAGTTTTCTAATTTAGGTTTAAGGACAATTTGAAAAATTATTTCCTAATGTGGGCCTCCTAAAAATATCTAACTTAATTTATTTGAATAGTCTAAATTAATTAGTAATTAATTGAGCCAAAAAGAGTTTGGGTCAATAGGCTTAATTAAAAAGCCCGTAAGATATTTTGATAAGAGGATAAACATGAACCTTATTGGATAAGAATTAAGGTTTAAAAGGATAAGATCAAAAAGCCCACATGCATAATAACTCCTAATTCTTGAAGGACTAAAAAGTAACAACCTAGAGTCCTTTTTAGGATTCAATGCCACCACTTCCTTGTCTTTGAAGGATAAAAAAGACACTCCCCTATAAATAAAAAGGGGAGGTGCAAGCAAAGAGGGAAGGAATGCTAGGTATACACTGCAAAAGAACAATAAAAGATAAAATGGTTTTATCCCTCCCACACACATATCACCTCTTTCCCTCTCTTTTAGGGTTGTTGCAAAATATCCCCGAATAAGTTTTGAAAAGAAAACACTAAACAAGTTAGAAAAACATGGAGCTACCACTCTACTACTTTTAAGTGCTTTTTGTGTGGGTGCTTGGATCGCATGGATTATCGATAGAGTTCGGACACTTGGACAACTCTTTTTCTACAAAGGTTAAATTCCGAGTTACAATTGGTAATTCTTTATTTATGCTTTAATATATATATATATATATATATATATATATATATATATAGTTGATTCAATGGCTTGATCTTGAAAGTCTTAAATGAAGGGAAAAAATTTATTTTATTTCGCATCTCCATAGGATGCATGATCCTTCAATTGGTATCAAAGCCTCCGTTAAATCTTTGATTATATGCTTTGTTAATTATGATTAACTACATAAATTATCAATTCTTGATTATAAATCCGATGTTTTGGTATTTTATATATATTTTTAAACTGATTTTTATGCTTCAAAAGAGTAGGGCATACGAGGCCAACGTTAGACATTGGCACTCACGTATGTAATAAGGGGCTCGGCTAGTTGCGCTCTAAGCATAAGACAACCCTAGCTGCTCATATGTTAGGTGTGCGATAGGCCGGACATGCCTCATGCATGCCAAACCTCATGGCAAGGCTAGTCTCATGCCGGGCGCGCGATAAGGCCAAACGTGCCATGCATACTCTAGGCTTATCGGCCAAGGTTAGTCTCTTACTAGGCATGCGACATGACAAGCATGCACTAGGTGTATGCCGAGCCTAAAAGCCAAGCCAAGAAGTGCCTTGTGCACATCAAGTGCATGCTAAGCTCGTGAATGAACGAGGCCTACATAGGCTAGGGGCGCGTACGCACCAAGCGATAGGCTAGGCACATGCTCGCACAAGCGAGTAGGCCGGGCATGCGTGAGTGTGCCGAGCCACTAGCTAGCAACGAGGCTAGGCACGCACGAGCACTCCGTGCTAACAACTTTGGCATGGCGAGCTTATGGATCTTCAAGACCCAAAATCCCAAGGTCCAAAAGTCTTTAAATTTAAATTTAAATTTTTTTGATAATTTTATAAAATGCACAAAATATAAATTTATAATTACAATTAAATGAAATGTGTTTTATTAGTATGTTATGTATCAATGTGATTGAAGTATGAGTGAATAGTATAAATGAGTTAATCTAGTTTATGAGAATGAATGTTTATAATTTATGGATAAATAGGACTCGTTTATCCCGCCTTCTTTATTATTCTATCGTATTTTTCTTCTCATCTTACTCCCCTTAAATATAGCTTGAGGTATCTTATTCAAATAAATGTAAAAGTAAAAGATAGGATATTAGAATAAATGTAAGGAAAAGAAGCCAAGAAGTGAAAACAATTCTGAAGAATTTTTAATAATATTTCACCTAGGTATTTGACTCATTAATCTTCTTGTGGCTCGAGAGGGCTAGTAGAAGAGATCCATTATCATTCATCGAGTCCTTGAGTTTCATGAGATTTAAGCTTTTATTTTATAATTATTAGTATATATGATAGGATTAATGTGATTGATGACTAGTATGCATGCTAAGATGAGAACTACCATATTAAATCCTTTAAAATTAATACCAAGTTAATTATCTTTTAACATTATGAGGAAAGAACTTTTTTTATCATTGTTGGCCTGTTGAGATAACTCAAGGTCACTTCTTTCTCAAGAAAATCAAATCATGGGTCATGCTATGTCTTTGAATATTTAGGTCTAACTTAAAAGGAGTTGTTAGGTTTGTTAAGATAATTTAAGATTCAATAAACTTGTAGGCAAAGATTGGTATTCACATAAGATGTGAAATGACAAAAAGTTATCATGCCAATAAGATTAGG